CATCTATTTTTGTTGCTTGTATGAATCAAATATATCAAAATATGATGTAGTTAATTCAATTAATATATATTCAAAAACAAATAAATAGAAATATAAGAAATATAAATACAAGTGAAGATGCAAAACAAATGAAAGAAATAATACAAATTAATTATTATTAAATTCATAATAAAGTACATTTACATTGAATAATAAATTGAACTTTTTGAGTGTGTTTGAATTTTATTTTGAGATTTAATTAGATTAAAATTTAATAAAATTATGTTAATATCATTAACACTTATTAAATAACAAACATGATAAATTAATATAAGAAGAATAAAAGAGGACTGAATTTATGATATTTAATTGTATTCTTATATAATAATAAAAGTGTTTATTAAGAATATTATAAAAAGATTGATAAAATCTAATATAATAAATTAAATAGTTATTTGTTATTGTATGATAAATATAATATGATATAAGTTAATTATTGAATTAAATTTAATTCATGACGTTAATATGAAGTCTATTAATTATAAATATTATTCTATTTATAATATTTTAATTAATAATGAAGACTAAATACTTAATTGATATAACTTTGATAAATTAGTTTATTTGTTATTTATAACTTCAAAATTGAATATGATAAACAAAAATTTATAATGAATTAATATAAAAGTTATTTAACTGTTATGACTGTTCATTCATATGTGTGAGAAAAATAGTTATAAATGAATAGAAAATTGAACAATTGATTAAATTTATTTTTAACACTACTTGTACTGAATTGATAAAATACGATGACGTTATATTCTTATTAATGTGTAAATAGATAAAAACAGTTAAACAAAAATGAAAATTATAATTTATTATAACAACTTTTCTTAATATGAATGATTCACAATTTAATAAGAGGTCAATATAAATTAATAATACATTTACTAAATTATTTGTTGGAATAAATTACTTACAGTGAACTAATAAAAAGTATCACCATTCAAAATAATTAAATAACATAATTTTAACATCTCAAAATGTAAGTTTTAAATTAAATATTGTAAGTAATATCTTTATTTTCATTATTTAAATTGTTATTTTTTATTCAGTTTTTATTATCTTTATTTTTAGTACTATTATTATTTAAAAACTCATTTAGAACACTTCAGCAATATTGATATTCAAATTTATGAATTAACAAAATATTATTGTATTAATATAATAAAATGGAAAATAAAAATATACTAATCTTGTTGTTTGATATTTACCATAAACAATTTATTATCTCTGTATTTTAATTTCATATTTATCAATTTGTTTCTTTAAAACATCTTTTATTTAACTTTTATCATTTCCAGTTATCCAATATAATCATACTTAGTTTCCAATCACACATTTTATTTGTTTTTCTTCTTATTAGAATGCATTTTAAAACTTCAAAAGTCATATTATTATTCTATAATAATGGTTGAATAAAAGTATCATAAAATAATTCTTCTTTTTATAAAACTCAAATATTATTTAAAACTACTTTAACTTAATCATTGTTAGTGTTATTTTTAACATTAAAACTAAACCTGTGATGAAAAATATTTCGGTTTTCTTTCTAATTCATCTACAACTCTCAAATAACAAATTGATAAACACAACAAACCCAATAAATGTATAAATGAATATTACAACACGTAAAAATACATTAAATAATGAACCATTTCAATCATATTACTTATCACTAATATTCCCTTTCCATTAAAATATCAAACAATATAAATTTGATGGTGTGGATAGGATGTATCAGATAAAGTGATATATTAAATAATAAATGATAGGAAGAATAAAAACATAAAATACAGAATTTTATGTAAAGGAGAAAAGAAGTAACACGAGTTATATGATGAAGATAGTAGCACAACAACCAATTAAATAAAAGAAGAGAATCAACAAATATAAGGCGTTTATTTGAATATTTACAAATTGTAGAATATAATTCAAAATTGGAGTATAATTAAAAAAAACAAAATGATGAATGATAAAGAACAACAGAAACAAGAAGTGCAATAAAGATATTGTTGTTTTAGATAAAATGCGAATAGAAAACAATACAACAAAAAAATATAAAATAATAAGTGAATGATAATTATTTATAAAACAATGAAGACACAATAAAGAATTAAATACTTAATTCAGTATAAATGAAGAAGAAATTAATATAAAGATAAGAAATAAATGATAATAAAGAAATAGAAAAGAGGGTAAGTAAAATGAGGTGATAAATGTCAAGAGATGGATGAGAACAGAAGAAAATTGTGAATAAGAATAAATGAGAAATAAATACGTCATTGGGAAGAACAGAAAATTAATATGAAATAAAAAGAATAGAAAATGAGGTACAAAATAGGAAGAAATATTCTAAAATAATTTTAAGATCGACAGAACAAAATCACGACACAAATAGAAATGACAAAGAAAATAAACAAAACGTATTTGACACACGTCAAGACATTGAACAATGAATCTCTATTGGAAGGAGCAATCATTTATTTTTTCAAATTATTATTCAATTATTATCACCAGACCAAGTAAGAAAATCGGTGATGACTATTCCATTCATCAGAATTAAAAGAATTGAAAGAAATGGAGATAGTTTGGATATATTTAAATTCATCAAACGACGAGGAAAAGAATATTTTGAAATGAACAAAAAGAAGAAGGCGATTTTCAAAACAATCAAAAGGAGAGAAAGGTCAAGAAGAAGAATGGAAACAATGCACTTACTTGAAGATTTATTGTTTAATGAAGGGATTTATGTTAAAGTGGAGAATGAAAGTGTGAATGGAGTTGGACCAAACTCAATGATTTATCATAACAAAGAAAAGAAAAGTATCAACTCAACAGAAATCAGAGAAATTGGAATGAAAGTGATTAATTATATCACCAATGAACTTACAAATAAGAGCCAAGTAATAATCGAAAGAAATACAATGAACAGTGTCTTGAATTAATAAAACAATAAAATGAGTGATAAGCAAATAGAATAATTCATGAAAAGATCTTCTAAAAGATAATAAAATAAATTAAAAACATAACTTATAATGAAAGAAGAAATATGTAATGAATTGTAATATTATTATTGAAAATGAATATATATCTGATTGCATTTTGTAATGTTGATGATTTAATACTTCTGGTGCCATGTATTTTGGTGTTCCTACACCTTTTGTGAATGTCATATTTGTCATCATCATATTGATGTTTCTTGCACTTCCAAAATCCGTTAATTTACAATTAACTTCAATGTTATCATCAAGTGATACAACAAGGAAATTATCGGGTTTAATATCTCGATGTAATATTCCATTTGAATGAAGATATGAAATTCCTTTTGCTCCATCTATCATAAATTTGATTCTTATTTTCTTTGATATTTCTGTGATGTTTCTTTTATTCGTTATATCTTGTATTGATCCATATTCTACATATTCCGTTACCATACATATTTTACTAGGAATAAATACTGCTCCATAACAATGAATGATATATTCATCTCGAAATTTATCTAATATTGCTACTTCTTTCTCAAATTCTTTCTTTTTATCTTCACTTTTCTCAATTTGTTTTATTTTCTTAATTGCTACTTTATTTCCTCTAAATTCTCCAACATAAACAATTCCAAATGGTCCTTCTCCTATTTTCTTTTCTTCTTTTATTTCATCTGGATCAAGTCGTGTTGATATTTCTGTTTCTCCTTCAATAGAAATACTTTTGATTGTTTCTTCTTGTGCTTTATTAAGTGTTTTACTAATTATCATTATTTTATCTTTGATTTTAGTTGTACATTTGATTATAATGAATAATTCAAATTCACATGCGTATCCTCCTTCAATTGTAATGAAATTTGGGTTTGTTCTAATTGAATATTTCTCATTTTCTTCTTTACTACTTATTTGTATCTTCATCTTTTCTTTTTTATCATTTCCAATACAAATCAATTCTCGTATTTCTTCATTCACTTTAATTTCTTCTCCTTCTTGAAGTTCAATTGCTTTCTTATTTGTTAATATTCCATCTCCAAGTGATATGAATTTGATATTTGATTGTGTTATTTTGAATATTGTTGTTGTTTTCTCTCGTTCTTTCTTTTCTTTTCTCTTCATTATGTAATTAACCATCATTATTATCATTACAATTGTTATAATAATGATAATAATTATAATAATGATGATTATCATTATCATCCACCATACTACTTCTTTATTACATTCATTTCCTTCTTCATTCGTTCCATACCAAAATGAACATTTCCAACATTTATTATTCTTTACTTCTTTACATTTATTAATATCTAAATAGTAAATACATTCTTTATTTGTTAATACATATTCATTTTCACAACTATTACATTCATTATTTATTGAACATGTTGTACAATTCTCTTTACATTTTGAACATTCTTTATTTATTAAATAATATCTTTCTGAACATTCTCTACATCCATATTCTTTATCTATTTCTCCTTTACATCCTTTAACTTCGTCTATTGATTTACATTCTCCTATCCAACTCATGAAATATCCATCTGCACATGGTGTACATTTCATTCTTGGTGATGTTTCTATTCTATTTCATCATTGAAAATTCTTTACAAGATTGTCTATTATTGATTCAACATAAAATTTAAACTATAAAAATGTCACAACTTAAATGTTCATTATAATAAATAATAATTAAATAATTAAGTATAAATAGAATTAGTTTCTATTATTCTATATTCATTACAGATAAATCAATTCCATTTATCCATTTATAATAATTCAAATGAATATGTTTTATTTAGGTAGTGTTAATGTTTAATAAAGTTATTCATATTTCTAATAACATTAATTTTAACTTCTTAAATAATATCATTTTCAATTCTTTATTTAATTTAATATTCTCTATATTTATTATTCTTTTATTTCAATTTATTATTCAACTTATTTTAACATTTCTTATTTATTCTATTCTTTATTTATTTATATTCATTTATTTCCATTGTTATTATGATATGAAACATTATTCATATCATTTATTAAATTGTTTTATTCTTTTTATTTATTATTCATATTTTATCATCGTATTAATTTCTTTTATCATTTTTATATTTTGTCAATGAATATTTCTAGTTACTAATTTTCATTATACTTAAATTTAATTCATTTATTGTTATAATGACACTATCATAATTGATATATCTTTCATTCCACGAGGTGTTTTGTTTTATTTTCCATTTCTCTTTATTTAATATCACCTGTGTTTCATATAACAATTTCAAATATTCTAAAGTAATATCGTTATTTGGTATATTTCATTTTTTGGGTCTTTCTTCCTTATTCTAATTTTCTTGTTAGAATCAATCATGATTTTATTTGTATTGATTCTGATTATTTCATCTTTATTAAATTTAATTCTTTATTCATTGTCATCATATATTTTAGGTATTTTATTCTTTCTAGTGCTTTAACTTTAATTCATTCTTTATCATATTCTTTTAATTTCATGATGCACTTTATTCTGTACCATTTTCATTGACCAAATCTTCTAGTCTATTGATTTTCTTTAGGATTTCTTTTATTTCATCAATTTTATCTCTTATTATTTTATTTTGGAGATAGAGGTGCATAACCATTGAAATCTTCTTCATATCATCTTGCAGATAATCCATTCTGCTTCCTGACAATACCCATCTATTATTAATTTCCATTATTAATTGGTCAGCTTCTTTTCTTTTCCAGTAGTAATTAATGTTTGAACATTTTTCTATTTTCATTTCTTTCACTTTATTGATGAGAGTATTAAGGTATTCTTCATCAATTTCTGTAGAGTTATTCTTTAATATGATGTTTTTTATTATTGAATTACACTCTACTCTTCTTTCTATTATATCATTTACTTTCATTTTATTGTATTGTTTAGTGCTTTCTTTTATTTTATGTGATATTTTAATATAATTAATATATTCATTTTCATTATTGACATTGATATTTATTGCTTTTATTATACTTTCTATTTGTTCCCATCTTAATTTCTTATATAATTTCTTATTCAACCAATTAATTGCAAAACAATACATCACTTCAATTAAAATTCTATTTGTTTGTTTTGTTTTATTTCTTCTTGTATTTTCATTATATTTTGTTTGTTATTTATTATTCTTGCAATTTTACATCTATCATTCATTTCTTTATTTGTGTTTTTGTTTTTAATTTCTTTCTTCATTTGTTTTAATGTCTTTTTCTTCCCAATCTTTTGTTTTTTCTTTAAATTCTTCTTACAGCTTTTCAATTATCTTTTTCTTTTTAATTGAATATACTTCTTGGAGGATATCATACCTTCTTTTACTTTTACCTTCTTACTTTTTGAGTATTTCTTCGTATTCTCCTTCATTCCATTCACTTGTTATTCTTTTTATTCTTTCTTGTATCTCATTTATTGTTAACCATTTGTATTTGTTATTTGTATAATCTTTATTGTTATTGTATTTACCTTGTTTTTTATTTGTTTTTCTTTGTTTCTTTCATCTTCTAAACCCTTTTTCCTTGTTGTATCATTTACCTTTATTATTATAATTGTTATGCCATTTATTGTTATTGACATTTCTTTTTTTATTGTATGACATTGGATTTCTATGTCTTGTTTGCTTTTCTTTACAAGACCCTAAGGTTTTACACAATATCCATGTCATTAAAATTTGTTGTATTTCCTGCATTGGAAAAAGATCTAATACAAAAATAAAATAAATAAATAAATAATAAATAAATAAAAAGAATAAAATTAATCTAATAACTGATATGAATAATGTCTCATATCAAAATAACAATAGAGATAAATAAAGAAATGAAATGATAATAGAGAGAATTAAATAATAGAATAAAGAAAATAGAGAAATAAGAAATGTTAAAATAAATTGAGTTATAAATTGAAACAAATGAATAATAAATATAGAGAGTATTAAATTAATTAAAGAAGTGAAAATGAAAAATAACAATATAAAAGAAATTAAATACCTTGTCATTAAAAACATGATGAACGTTATTAAATATTGATTCTAACACAATCAAATGTACTCTTGAGAATTATTAGAAGAAGACTCTGGAATATGATTATTCTTAAATGAACAAAGAAGCATAGAAACTAATTATATTCACACTTAATTAATTGCTTATTAATACAATTTGTATCAAACTGAGTTGAATATTCTCTTCTAAGTGAAAAATATAAACCAAAAACTATTTAAACAAATTAAGTATTAACCTTCACTCCAACAGATCAATTAATATAAGAACAAAATGAATGAAGACTTTAATGGTAAAAAATATATCAAATTTTTCATATTTGTAAAAGAAGTATTTTATCCAATTATAGAATGTTTCTCTCTATGAAAAAAACAAGAGTGGATTGTATAAAAACGTATATAAAAAAAAGAAATAACTTTAATTTAAAATCAACTTAAACTTTCATGAAACGAAAAACATTAACCTTCTTATATAACATTAGTCTAAAGAAACACTTCGTTTCATAAGAAATGAAAAAGGTTTTAAACAGAAACTGTAAAAGATAAGTAATGAATAATACAAATACAAAAATTTCAAGAAAAATACAAATTAAAAACAGTTATATATAACACAAAATAAAAAACCCTAAATATTCTCAACTCAAAAAAAAAAAAGAAAGAAGAAATGAACGAAGAAGAAATACAGAGATACAGAAATTTTAAATTTGTTTATGAAAGGCCAGAGCATAGAAATATTCCATATTGTGACGTTTATGAGTGTGAATCAAAAGAAAATGGACATTATCTTTGTCATATTATAAAGAAATATCATTTAAAAAGTGTAGAACAAATACCATTTATTGAGAAAGAAATAAATATATTAAATTCATTACAACACACAAATATTCTTGAATTAGATTCTTATTTTCCTGTACAAAGTAGAAATGAATTTTGGTGTGTTTTTAAAGGAACAAATTATGAATTTTCAAGATATGGTACTCTTTGTATTGAACGAATAACAAACACAAATGTAGGAGCATTTTTATTTGATATATTAAGTGCAATGCAATACATAGTTCATAGTAAAATGTTATTAAAACCAAGAATTAATCCAAAACAATTTTTCGGTTTTCATTCACCAGATTCTCCTTTCCCAGTTTTGAAATATTTATATGAAGAGCAATTTGATGAAGGAGAAAATAATGCTAATTTTGCTTATTGCGCTCCTGAGTGTTTTGTTGGAAAGACAAGTGATGTAAGTTATCTTTGGTCATTAGGAATTATTTTACTTAGGTTTTGGTTTGGATATAAAGAAGCTAGTTCTCCTGAAGAATATTTAAGGTCTATAGAAATTATTAAGAAAGAAGGAATTTCTAAACGATTTGTTAAAGATGAAAATAAAAGATGGGTATTATCTATGTTACTTTCATATGATGAAAAACAAAGAAAACAAGGAGATGGAATTATTCTTTCTGGAATATTTCTTGAACAAAATTTTGAACAACGTATACATCAAGGAAATGCAGATGATTATGAAATAATAAAAGAAATAGGAAAAGGGGCATTTGGAAAAGTATTTTTATGTAATAAAATTAATACAAAAGAAGAAGTTGCAATTAAGTGTGGGGATCAATGGATTGCACGAGAGAATAAAATATTAATGTTATGTCAACATGAAAATATAATGAAAGTTTTTGATTATTTTAAAGGAAATAATATATTTGGATTTAATGGAGAACATCATTTTCTTGTAATGGAATATTGTAATAAAGGGAATTTAGAAGATATATTAAAAAAACGTACAATTAAAGAAAATGAATTTTGTTCTTGGACAAAAGATTTATTAAATGGATTATATTATCTTCATAGAGTAAAACATATTGTTCATAGAGATTTAAAACTTGGTAATTTATTATTACAAGAAAGTAGAAGAAGTAATATTCCTATTTTAAAAATTAGTGATTATGGATTAAGTAGAGAAATTGATGAAGATATGATGAGTTGTGTAGGTTCTACTCAATATAAATCACCTCAAATTCTTTTTGGATTAAAATACTCCGAAAAAACTGATTTATTTTCAGTTGGTGTTATTTTATATAAAATGGTAACTCAACAATTTCCATTTGGTGAAGAAGTTTATGAAATAAAAGATAATGTTCTTGATAGAAAAGAAGTTGAGTTTGAAATTCCTGTTGAAGAATCAAAGAAAGATTTTATTGCTAAATTACTTGAAATTGAAGAAGAAAAAAGAATGAATTGGGAAGAAATACTTAAACATCCATTTTACAAAGAATTAATGAATAACAAATTTCATTCTGATTCTTCTTTATTTGAATCACTTACATCTTCTTTTGATGTAACTTCTTTTTGATTGATTGATTTGATTTGGTTATTAAAAATATTCGATTTTTTTTGTTTTAGTTTTTTTATTTATTGGAAAAGTTTTTTTGATTGTTTTTAATGAATAATTTTTCAAATTGTTACTTATTCTTTCATTCCTTTTATCCTTTTTTTTTTCTTTTGTATCATTTTTATTGGATATTTATTTGTTTATATTTCAACATTAAGATAAATAATATGTGCTTTCTTGTAATAAGAAAATACTATATCAAATATGTTGACTAAGTCAAAGGTTATTATTGTTATTATGTAATTTATTAAATCTATTTTTTTAAACAAATATTGTATATTCTTGAGTGATTGATTGAAACAATATTTAATAAAAATTATATATAATGTCTAATTTTGATTAATATATTTGATAATATTAACAAAATAGAATTTATTTATTATAAATAAAAAGTATTTGTCTTCAATTCTGTATTATTAATATAAATATTATCATTTAATATATAAAATAAATCCGTATTAATAATAATATTAATTCAATACATTAATTTTAATTATCTTTCAATTTTTTTTACTGGTAAAAAAAATATTAATTTAATTCTTTGATTTCTGGTTTGATTTATTAATATTATCAATATTTTATAACTAACTTTATTATATTTCTTCTTGTGATATTAAATACAATAACTGAAGTATCAAGAATTTATTCAATTTGTTTTTATATAACTGTAATATAAATAATTTATATTTTTATAAATGACAAAACAACAATAATGTTAATATTATATATTCATGTATTAAATAATTAGACATAAAAAATGTATTTAAATTATATCATTATATTATTTTCATATTATCATTATAACACTTAACATCATTTATCTCTATTTTTCTTCTCAATAACTCTCTTTGAAAGATATTATTAAAAAGAATAAAAGAAGGAAAAATATAATGAATAATCAAATAAAATAAAAATATTTTATAAATACAAATATCAAAACTGTTTGATATTATTTAAATTGAATATAATAATTATTTGAATTTTTTTAATGAATGATATTTTTATTATCAAATAAAGAAGAAAATAAGTTTAACACAAAGAATTAAATAATTCAGTATTTATTTAAAGAAAATAAACGGTATATATGACAAAATAATACAAACCCTGATTTTATGAAAAAAATTTAAAAGAAGGAATTTGATAAAAAGAAGAATGTACAAATTTGATAATGCAGAAATTGAGAAAGAACAAACAACATTGCATATTCCTAAAGATTGTTATTTTTATTTAACAGGACATTTTCAATTTGAAGTATTAAAAGGAGATGTTTATGTTAATGGAATTAAAGCACTGAAAGGAAATCATTGTATTGAACAATCACATTTTAGTCCAGCAATACCATTTGTTTGTAAAACTAATGCAGATATTCAATTTAAACCATTAACAACAACTTGTGAAGAATTGTATGAACTTCCAAATTCATATTTAATGAAAGAAACAACAAAAGAAGATACATTACTTTCATCAAATGCATTTACATTTGGAGGAATAAGAATTGTTAATAAATCATTAGCAAATAAAATGAATATTCCAAAGAATTGGAGAAAAGTAATTCAACGAATAAAAAATACAGCAAAACAAGGAGTTGTAAGAGTTGGAGTTGTAGGAGGAAAAGGATGTGGGAAATCAACATTTGTTAATTTATTAAAGAATTCATTAGTTGAAGATAATAAAGTATGTATAATTGATGTAGATCCAGGACAACCATTTTGTGGTAAAATAGGAACATTTTCATTAATAATTTGTGATAAACAAAATTTTAATGAACCATATATTTCAAAAACATTTTATGAAGAATATAATTTTGTTATTGGATCAAATAATTTAGGAAATAATACTTGTCTTGTTATTCAAACAATTAAAGAACTTATTCAACTTTATATTGATAAATATAGTAATCTTCCTCTTATTATTAATACTGCTGGATGGAAAAGTGGATTTGGACTTGAATTACTTGAATTAGAATTATCATTAAGTAGAACAATGTTTGTTATTGACATTATTGATTCACCTAATTCTATTATCAAAGAATTAGATCAAATTTGTCCAATTCATATTGCAATTCAATCTGGTGTTAATAAAAGTTTTATTCTTCCTAATTTATTAACTTCTTCATTTAGAAGAGATTTATCATTATCTAATTTAATGATCCATTCAAATTGGTATTCTATTCCTCTTAAAAGAATTTCCCTTTCGTATTTAGATGATTTTGACCCACATTTTGCTCTTCTTTCAATTAATAATAAATATGTATTTCTTTCTCATAACAACTTAATTGAACCTCATATTATTAATAATACAACTGATTATCCAGTTTTTTATAAACCTGATAATAAATCTGCTCTTTCTACATTTGGAATTGGATTAGTTCTGATTAATGTTACTTCAAAAACACTTTATATAAAAACTTCAATTGGTGATGATAAAATGAAAGACGTTAATACAATTATTTATTCAGTGTTCATGGATTCTCCTATAATGCATCCAATAGTTGATGGTGAAATTGGACCTTATATGGCATTAGACCAAGACATTAGTGGATCAGAACGTTCTCAATTTAAATTTATAAGAAGAAATTTTGATTAATAATGAAATGATTTTATTTGACTTTTATTTTTATGTTTATTTTATTATCAAATATTGAGGATTTATTGTCTTTTACTATATTTATAGTATAACTATAGTAAAATAAAATTTAAATAAACAATAAGAAGATAAAATGATTAAAAGATTGTGATTGATGCAAACTAGTAACACCACAAATGATATTGATACTATAATCACTACTATGAAGAGACTCTCAACAATTCCAAATGATAAATTACTTGATAATCTTCCTTATAACTTTGCAAATCAAATAGAAATGATTATAGTAAATGAAGTTGAACATGATGAGTTGGATGAAGTTATTTGTAAATTAAATCAAATTGCTGATAAAATAAGCAATGGAAAAATCCTACTTCCTATTATTCAAAATTTTTCATTAATTAAAAACCAACAAATGAGACCATTAACTAGTGTTGAAATTACTGTATTTCATTATCAATTATTAGAACCATTCAACACAATAATTAATCCTAATGACTTGATTAACGCAATTTATTGTGTTCCAAGAACAAATAATTGTTTATTAAGAGCATTCTTTTATTGGAGTGGATGTTATTTTCTCAGACTGAACCTAATGAAGAAAGCAGAATTTATGTTTAGACAATGTTGTGAAGTACCAATAATGAAAAAAACAGCAAGTAATTTTGGAATTGAAGCAGCAAAAAAGCTTATTTTATTAACAGCTGCTCATTTTGAGCAATACATAATTCCTTTTCCTTATTCTCTTTTTATTCCAAAATCCTACAAAGAGATAGCAGCATTTTGTAGTAAGTACGAGCTTAAAAGTATTCTTCAATCTTCTTTTGATAAAATTTTTGAAAAAGATGGAAACAATGGTATTGTTGAATACTTATATCAACAATGCCAAATCAAAGTAATTGAACGTATAGCAAAGGCATATTCTACAATTTTAATTGACGACATTATTATGAAAATAAAGATAGAACGAAATGAATTGATTAAATGCATTGAACACCAAAATAAATTAGGTAAAGATTGGGTAATTATTGGTGATACAATCTTGTTTGGGAATAATCATCTCATCAATCCATTACAAAACGAATTTTCTTTACTTCAAATGACTGAAATAACACTACAACAAGCTAATGACTTTATGAATCTTAAGAAAAAAACAAAAAAAGTCAATCTAAAATGAAAAGTGGTTAATTATTTTATTTCTTTATAATTTTCATTCATTTTTTTTTTTAAAAAAAAACAATATCATTCAATAAAAGTAATAAGGATTAAATAAATATGAAACATTAAGTATTTTATTTTTATAAAAGATAAAAGTCAACAATGATTCACTAAAAATAAAAATATTGATTTTTAAAATTATATGACTAAAACTAAATGAAAAGAAAGTTATCATCACCCTAACCCTAATAAAACCCCTTGTATATTTAAACACTGAACTTCTCAATTCTTTCATTCTCCCTCTTCTAAATGCCAAAGGAAAAGACTCATATTAATATTGTCGTTATTGGTCACGTCGATTCTGGTAAAAGTACTACCACTGGTCATCTTATCTACAAATGTGGAGGAATTGATCAAAGAACCATTGAAAAATTCGAAAAAGAATCAGCTGAAATGGGTAAAGGATCATTCAAATATGCTTGGGTCTTAGATAATCTTAAAGCTGAAAGAGAAAGAGGAATTACTATTGATATTTCATTATGGAAATTCGAAACATCTAAATACTACTTCACTATTATTGATGCCCCAGGTCACAGAGATTTCATTAAGAACATGATTACTGGAACTTCACAAGCTGATGTTGCCATCCTTATTGTTGCTGCTGGTACTGGTGAATTTGAAGCTGGTATTTCAAAGAATGGACAAACCAGAGAACACATTCTTCTTTCATACACTCTTGGAGTTAAACAAATGATTGTTGGTGTTAACAAGATGGATGCCATCCAATACAAACAAGAAAGATATGAAGAAATTAAGAAAGAAATTAGTGCATTCCTTAAGAAGACAGGATATAATCCAGACAAGATTCCATTTGTCCCAATTTCAGGATTCCAAGGAGATAATATGATTGAACCATCAACTAACATGCCATGGTACAAAGGACCAACATTAATTGGAGCACTTGATTCAGTCACACCACCAGAAAGACCAGTTGATAAACCACTTAGACTTCCACTTCAAGATGTTTACAAGATTTCAGGTATTGGAACTGTACCAGTCGGAAGAGTTGAAACTGGTATCCTTAAACCAGGAACTATTGTTCAATTTGCACCATCAGGAGTTTCATCTGAATGTAAATCAATTGAAATGCATCACACAGCACTTGCTCAAGCTATTCCAGGGGATAATGTTGGATTCAATGTTAGAAATTTAACAGTTAAAGATATTAAGAGAGGAAATGTAGCATCAGATGCTAAGAATCAACCAGCTGTTGGATGTGAAGATTTCACTGCTCAAGTCATTGTCATGAACCATCCAGGACAAATTAGAAAGGGATATACACCAGTTCTTGATTGCCATACATCACACATTGCATGTAAATTCGAAGAATTATTAAGCAAGATTGATAGAAGAACAGGTAAATCCATGGAAGGAGGAGAACCAGAATATATTAAGAATGGAGATTCAGCACTTGTTAAGATTGTTCCAACTAAACCACTTTGTGTTGAAGAATTTGCTAAATTCCCACCATTGGGAAGATTTGCTGTTAGAGATATGAAACAAACCGTTGCTGTTGGAGTTGTTAAGGCTGTTACCCCAAGAGCTGCTAATGCCTCAGCTGCTGGAAAGAAGAAATAATTAATTTATTAATTATTTAATAAATTTGATAAGTTTTTATTTTTTAAAGAATATAAGTATTTAACATAAAGAAATATTAATTTAATTGTAGATAAATGAAAGAAATGAAATTGATTTTTTTTCTTCTTATTTCTTGACGAAAAATGAAAGATTGAAATACTGCACACTTTGTAAAGACAAGATAACTACAGTAGAACACATCTTATTATCTTGTATTTGTCATAATAATCACAAATAGAAAAACATGACAATATAGGCATAATAATATTGATTAATAAGAAAATATACAGGAAATAATCAATATAAAAATACAATATGAAACAATATTCCAATATAAAGACATTACTATGTTATTGAACAAACAAATAATGCCTAAAAGTGAATGACAATATCACAAAATACCAGATATGTAATAGATAAAAAGAATAAAACTGGTCTATTATTTGATATGACTATTGTATTATCACAATATTAATTGAGACTATTTGAAGAAAAGAAATAAGTATAATGAATTAAAGAATATGCTGATGAAAATAGAGAAATTAAAATATGTCAGAATAATCCCAGTAGTAATTTCAATAAATGGATTAATAAATAACTCAAGTGTTAAATTAATTAAAGAAATAAAAAATTGAAATTGACATCGAGAAAGAAATTAAAAACATTGTAATAAAAAACATGATTGATGTCATGGAATACTGCTTCAATCACAACAAAACATACTCCATAGAGATAGTAGAAGAAAACATATGGAATTAGTCAGTCTTTAATGAAAAAAGAACAATAAAATTAATTCTTATTTAATTGCTTATAATTTAATTTTTTATTATATTATTAACTAAAAATAAAATAAAAGAAAAATTTCTTAACATCATTTAGTATGTTCAGTTTTTCCTCTAAAACTGCTATTTCATCCAAATCTCAACAATACATACCTACAAAACCTATGGCTGCTCCTCGTAGGGTTGAACAATTATCAGTAAATTCTCCTCTTAAAAAAGAAATTGAAAGTAAACCAAAAAAAGATGATGAAAAAAAGCCAACCCAATTGTCGTTGGATATGTTTGATATTGGAAAACCACTTGGTCAAGGAAAATTTGGAAATGTTTATCTTGTAAAATACAAAAAAGAGTTTGTTTTAGATATTCATTTATTAAATAAGGAGGAGTTAATTCTTTAGTAATTATGTTTGTGCATTAAAAGTTATATTTAAAAGACAGTTACAACAATACCGGAGGGAGATTCAAATGAAAAGAGAGATTGAGTTACAATCTCAACTTAACCATCCTAATATTCTCAAATTATTCGGACTTTTTGAAGATAAAGACAGGTGGTTCCTTGTTCTTGAATATTGTAAGAAAGGTGAATTATATGGGTTATTACAACAAGCTGGTCGTTTTGATGAAAGAAGAGCTGCTCGATACATAAAAGCAACAACTGAAGCTTTAAAGTATTGTCAAGAGATGAATTGTATTTATTGTGATTTAAAACCAGAAAACATCATGATAGATCACAATGATCAAGTCAAATTAGCTGACTTTGGATGGTCTGTTCAAGCCAAGACAAAAAGAAATACTTATTGTGGTACATTAGATTATTTATGTCCTGAAATTGTATTAGAAAAATATTATGATGGATCGATTGGTCAATGGTGTTTAGGAGTTTTAACATTTGAACTATGTACTGGTGAACCTCCATTTCAATCTAACAGTCGTGAAGAGGTTATGAAAAAAGTCAGAAATGTTAAATATTCTTTTCCAAGCTATCTCACAAATGATTGCAAAGATTTTATTAACAAACTAATTCAATATGATCCTTCTAAAAGAATGAGTTTTGCTGAGTGTTTAGTTCATCCATGGATAGTCAAAAACACAACAAATTGACTTTTATTTTCTCGTTATTTTATTTTTTTGTGTATTTAAACTTAAAAACAATAAGTAATGGAAAAACAATGGGAAAAATATCAAATTTTACATTCTAAAGATGTAATACTTGAAGACTCACATGATTGGACATTAAATACATTATTACGTGTTGGTGTTTGTTTATTTTGTTTGTTTATAAGTAGAACATTATTAATTGATATGATAAATTATTAATAATTAGGGATTGGATATTTCATTTTCAACAAATCATCCAAATCTTGCAATTGGTTGTTTAGTTGTTTGTGAATATCCTTCTGGAAAAGAGTTATTAACATTAACATGTCGTAAAATAATTACAATTCCTTATATTTCAGGATTTCTTGGATTTAGAGAAGTAGAAGTTTATCATGAACTACTCAACGATTGTAAAGAAAAGTACCCTGAGTTATATCCACAAGTTGTGCTTGTTGATGGAAATGGATATTATCATCCTCGAAGATTTGGTTCTGCAACTCATGTTGGAGTTTATTGTGATATACCATCAATTGGTGTTGCAAAAGTTTGTATTTTTTGTGTTTTATTCACGGAATAGTTGTAAGAATGTAGACTGTATTATGTGTTGATGGGATAGGAAAGAAGGAGATTAATATAATTACTTCACAAATCAAACCAGGTGAATCAACTACAGTTAGTACTTCAAATGGAGAAGTGTTATGTGAGGTTATAAGAAGTAGAGGTGGTAGTATAAATCCAATCATTGTTAGTTGTGGGAATAAAGTTTCACTTTCAACAGCAGTAATTATCTGTAAAGAATGTTGTTTACATAAAATCCCAGAGCCTATTCGACTAGCTGATTTAATTTCAAGAAAGTTGTTAAGAGATGAAGGATTACTCCCACACATGAATTAGAGATAAGCAAAACAAAACGAAGATTAAAATTATTACATATAAATGAAAAGTCAACAATATATTTCTTTTCAAAAAAAGGAATTAACAAATTAAACTTCAATCAATCATTTACAATGATTAAAAAAAGATACAACTTGAAGAGATTTATCTGTCAAATATTGTATTATATTTTAATAACATAAAAACAGGTGAATTGTTTACATTAATAAATAAAAAATGTAAAGACTCACTTCAAATGTTACATATCAATCCATCATATTCTGTTGAGAAAGTTAATGAATATTTTCATATTAAAGAATGTAATTTTCAACTCCAAAAATCGTTTATAAAAGAAATGAAATTATTCCCTCATCTTGAAACAGTGTGATTTACAGAACAAACTATTCAATTTCTTCATTTAATTCCTTCACAAATTAAATTGATTCGACTTCTGTTATTAATCTAAAATCTACAATATTAAGAAATGATTATTAGAAAGTAAGAATTGCTTCATTAACATTAAAAAATCCTAAATACTCTTTTGATCTTTCAGAATTTACTTCTTTAACAAGTCTATCACTTAATATTAAGAAACACATAAGAGTTAATGATTTTATTAGAAATAAAT